TATAGATATATAGATATATAGATATGCACACACACCGCTAGAACCTTGCGTCCTCCACGCTTTGCTGGGCGTCGTTGCGAGAGAAGCACTCAAGCATCAAATTGCCGGCTTCCTGGGCAGCAGACACCTGCAAAAGGCATTGAATCCAACAGCTGCATGCTCTGCAAGGGTGGATTCCTGCAATACTGAATAGCGTAGGACTGCAGGCAGAGGCACCGATTCATCTAGATACCGGGAGAAATCCGCTTCCGAAAGTGCCACCATGGGAAAATCAGGCACGGGGCCCTGCACGTGGCACGCTCCCCCTCCTGTCGTACGCAGAGGGTACTTGTTGTGTGATGGAGCTTGCTCTGCCTTATGGTCGGCTTGCCCGAAGCCTGCGACTGCTGGAGCCAAACACGCGGTTTATGAACGGTGATACGGCTGAAGAGCTAGGAAAAAGTCGACAGAAAAAATGCATACTCCAGGTAGTTCCAAAACGTTTAAGTGCTTGGCGGAGGAGTGCTCCTTGGACGCGACACCTGGCTAATCGGAAAGAAGCTCATACATAGCTTCATGGTGCTCTATCTACTATTACTACACTTTTCGCCCGAACACGATGAAGGCCTGCTGGGTCAAGTCCTTTGCTGGCCATCTGTTGGCTATGTGAACTCCCGAACCTTTCATCAAGGTCACGAAAGCTCCAACGAAGCTGGAGACAAACATTCCGCGTTTCCGCGGTTTGGACGACCAACTGCGGAAGCGGCGTGTACTCCTTGCTGGCACTGGAACCGAAAGTATCCTGCAAGAAATCGGGGCTTCAAACCAGCAACACCCACTTGCTGCCAAATCGGCAGCAGCCCGCAGCACGATCTTGCCTCAAGGCTGTCTGCCCCGCTGCCAGCCTGCTAATGAAATCCGTTCACACAAGTATTACTTAGCACCCTTGTCCCAGAACATTCAGCCGCCGACACTTGTGCTGCTTTCTGCTGACGCACCCCCCTCAGCCAGGAACTACCGCCATTACCGAGGCCGCTCAGATGAGATCTCGGGCACTCGAAATGCCCAGATTATTTGGTCCCAGCTGCAGCGCCACCAACTGCGCCAGTGTTACCGTCTGCTGCTGGTTTTGCTGTGCTGCTAGAAGCGCCTGCGACCAAGCTCAGAAGAAGCCGGTGCAACGAAACAAATCCAGTGGGTTGCACGATGAATGGGGCCCGGGGACAGGCTATTGATTTGGCTCTGCTCCCGCATTTTTACCGTTCAACCGCCGCATGTGGATGCTACCTGCCGGGCTTAGCACTCGAACTTGAGTTCCAGCCTTCTTTGCTCGCTGCCGGGGCCTCCCAGACAGACGGGTGAACGAGACCCTGAACTGGTGTCACCCTTTTGACATGACATCCGGCAGTGTCTTGAGGCGGTTCGGCCTCATCACTGTGACGCGGCCCTTCAGCCGATGATTCCGCGACCTCTTCTTTGACGGACCTGAAGGCCCTAATTCCATCGCTTTGTCGGGCTCCAAGTGGTCTGCAACATGCACTTCTGAGAAGCAGGCCCTTCCTCGGCAGTTTGTGATGCCGACATCCATCGAGGCCTCCAGCACGGGGCAGACGAAAAACCCGAGCGCAAGCTTCAGTAGACCCGAGACCGAGAAATTCTTGTTGCAGTTTCGCCTGCAGGGTTTGCGGCTCTGCGCCGTACCCCGCCGCGCTCTGAGCCAGCAGAGGCAGCGCGGCAAGAACGATTGATCCTTTCCAATTCAGCAAGCCCTGAAGATTGAGGAACTGATTCAGACGCCCGTCCACGGAAGATCAAAACACCGCTTGCCAAAATCAAACAACCTAGCGGAGCTAGCGCTCGGGTTCAGTATCATTACGTATCAGGCATCTCCACATCAGCCCAGCCTTGAGCGAGCAAATGCAAGCACTTCCCATCGCCTGATTTTTTTTCACAGGCGATAAGTCACGGCAGCACCGGCAGCATCGTACGCCTGATAAGCGCGACACATCCCATGGGGTTGCTACACACACAAACACACACACACACACACACACACACGCACGGAGAAGTGGGATCAACCAAATGCCATGGTCGGCTAGAAGCCTGCTACATCCATCGGTACTGCCGTTACATCTGCATCCTGCATCACCTTAGCGTTGGTAACCTGCGGCACTTCAGAACCTGTAGCTTTCAGGGACCCTTTCAGGACAAGAGGCTCTCGGACGCAAACTTTCCGGAAATGCAAAAAATCCGTCATTCACAGGCCAATACGAAACAACACCTGAACTAGGGGTGCATTTGGGCGGCCGTTCAACTCGAAGCAGGTACACAGAGCTGGCCAAGCTCTGCTTCCCATGCCACGTCCCCCTGCTGTCATTGGAATGGTGACTTCCACAAACCTTTAGCTTAGAATCAAGGCGCGCACGCACACACACACACACACACTCACCAAACACACACACACGTAAGGCTGCTCGCAGAACTTCGCGGGTCGAGGCACTTCTTCATTGGAAGCTTCAACATGCTGGATCGATCCGGGCCGACACCGACCTCCCAGTTCACACGTTTGTGTCTCGGAGCGAGTTCCAAAAAAACAATTGGGAAACAAGCCAAGCGGCCCAGGAAACTGGAATGCTCAAGAGTTCTTGGATCCTGCGTCTGTCTCACATATCGGCGCACTCGACTTCCCACAGAGTCGTCAGTCTAGGTGGATATATGGACCGCGGCCTTAGCACGTACTTTTTGGCGTTCTCTGGCAGATCTTCCCATCTGGTGCACTTGGAAATGTCTTCTGACCAGCCCTGGAGAGTTTCCTTCAGGAAGCGACACAGCACCAGAAAGACACAGCTGACGAGTAAGACGCCAAGCCACATACTCACAGACGACTTCCTGACCAGGTGCGATGCATCCATTTCTCGAAGTGAACGCCCGGCATGGCCAAAACAACGATAAGCCTTGAGGTCATCCAAGTGCGAAGGAAAGTATCCGGATGGCAGGCGGACTTCAGTCATGCGTCTGTTCCTGTGTTGCTGGGCAAAAAGACAATGACATCTCCATGCCCCCATGTGAACCTGGCCTGTACGCGATAGCAACCCGAATCTGCTTGAGGCCAGTAAGAACATCAAGCTTGGTAATGTTGACGCTGTCCTTTGGCAGGAGACATACTTGCAAAACTCGTTTTCGGACGTCTGCACCAGTGCAACCCAGTCTCAAAGCCGTTGACCATAGCCGAATACTTGACCAAAGCCTCGGGAATCTCGGCATCTGAATGCAGGAGAGTCGCACACGTGCCACAGGACCCTTGGGCGAAGTGCCAGGTCCAGCCAACCACACCTCCGCCTTCGGCCGGTGGTAGTGCCGTATTCTGCTCCCACCTCCTGTAGCATCATTCCAACCTGCGAGAAGCTTTCAGCGACGTTGAGAACAGATTCCTGCAGAAGGACGGCGCCTTAACCGGCTTGCCAGACTTCAGGTCGAAGGGGCCACCTGGCGCCAGAAAGGGGAAGCACAGCGGCTGCTCGTTGCTCACCCTGCCTGTGTGGCCCTTGCGCTCGTAGCGGGCATCTGGGCCAATGTACGTCTCAGTGTAGTCCTCTCAGAGCGGCGCTTGCAAGGCCAACGGAAGCATGCAGAGCTGCACACCCGCAGGCCTCGAGAGACTGCATCTCGTTCTGTAACTCTGTCGGGAAAGGTCCGTGCCCAACTCGAGTGGTGTAGGCCTTAACCTCCACAAGACTGCTATGCCTCTATGAAGCATGCAAGCTTGAGGCCAATGCCACTCCAATGACCGTATCTACCACTTTTGGCGGCACCCCCAGTCCTGCAGCAACTCGCTTTCTGCATGCAGCCCGTGCACGCTGCACACGACAACTGAACGGCAGTCCTGTGCACACGCTTCCAACCGTTGTGTTAGATGATGTGACGAACGGGTAAGTACCTTGTTTCCAGGAGAACGCACACAACTGAAAAACTGAAGCCTGCTCAGCGAAGAGCGCCAGTCAAGCTCAAGCATGTGCTGGCCCGTCTTTTTCTGCACATAGAATGGCAGACAAAGATGCCACTGTTGGCCAGTCGATTTCGGAGCTTAAAGGAATCGGATGGTGCTCTTCAGATGCACTGCAAGTCCTCAGGCTTCATCGGCCGGCACCCTCCACTTTGCCAAGAAATTATCCTTGTCATTGTCCTTGATACGGCACCAAACACAGTGGAAGAAGAAGGCCAAGGTCGGGTACATCATGATGTAGCGGTAGAAGTCTTCGTGGGACTTGTCCAACATCCCACCGTAGTAGCTCGTGTCGATGTAGTACCTCCAACGGTTCTTGGTGGGATCAATGTGCAACTCCGGCATGCCCATCATGCACATTTTCTGGTAGTCCCAGTTGCGCTCAATCCAACGAATCCAGTGGCGGCCTGGGACTCGGCGCAACCACACGATCGTTGAACGAAGCCACAGGTACACAGGGCCACCCTTGAAGGGTGACATGACGGTTTCCTCCACACGGCCATAGACCAAGGGATAAGCCTGACTCGGGGGCTCCACGGTCTTGGGCACCTGCGCTGCGAAGAGGCGCCGGCCAGCCACGAGGTTCCGCTTTGCGAAGTTGAGAAGGCCCATCTCACGTGCCACGAAAGTGCCGTCGCCAGATCGCGACTGCAGTAGGACAAGGCCAGCACAGGCCAGGCTGACGCTTGAGCCGCAGACGAAAGCCACGTGAACTCTAACTCTGCCGGGCTGCCAACTATCTTCCACGAAAACCAAGGCAATGTGAGCTGCCCCGACAAAGAAAGCTGTGGCAGCCAAGATGCCAAAGTCGATATCGAGCAGGGCTGCATTGGCACCCTCTACCAAGACCTATGCCAATGCATGAGAGCAGCAAGGTGACCTCCAACAAGATTCACTTCTCTGGCCTTGCAGCCCTGCACTATGTCTTGGTGCATGAACGTGACCGAATCCACGATTTGCGTTCGCAACATGTCAGCATACCTCGGGAAAGGAACGGAGAACCATTATAACTATAACATTCGACAAACAATATAAGTCTTCATCAGCCAGATGCCGCATAAGTTACTTCCGGTATCTTTCGATCTCCTCGTCAATGTTCCCGACTCCACCCTTCTGCCCATGCTCCGGGTCAAACGCATACCTCAGGTCCACACCACACATGCCACGGAATGTCGACGGAAGCCTGCTTGAGGCGTAAGGCCACGCACCGGGTGTTGTACTCCCGGAGAGCTTGGCGCAGCTGAAGCTGCGCTGGAGAGTCCTTGAATGCAAAAACAAATGGAGAGCTTGAGGAAACAGAAGCCTACCTCAAGACCTTGTCACGAGGATGGCTGTAGCGCTTTTGGGACCAGGCCTTGGATCCGAAAAGCAGAACCACACAACACATTGCGATTCCGATGACAATGCTCTCTCGCCCTCAAGACAGGCACAACTCCAAACTTGCAGAGTTGTGTCTTTTTCCCTGCTTGTTCGCTCATGCGCAGCTTGTGCGCTGCTTGCGGCCCGCATGCCTACCTGTCAAATTGCCCAGATGCGACATGCTCGGGGCATCCTGAATTCCTTCTTGAAGAGACAACGATTGGAGCAGATGCTCCCTCCGACAAACCTCTGTCGGGACTTAGTGAAGATCTCTCTCTCGTGAGTGAGCATAGCTCGCTCAACTGCGCCCCAGAGAGAATGACGTCAGATACAATAGTCATGCATGCTTCCAGCACCTCATTCGAGCCCTCACGTAAAGTGGGGCTCGGATCCAAGCAGCCAATGCTCTTGCTCTGCCTGTTACTCAGTTTCCGTTTTCTTTTGAAACATGAACATGCGACATGGCTCAATGCCATATGCCTGATCCAAGCTCAGGAACTCTTCCTCCTGGGCGAGCTCCCAAAGTGGATCCACAATCTGCAGGCCTCACGTCGTACATAGCAACTTAGGCACTCTTCCGACTCTTCTCCTTTTTTTCGGCGGCCGAGGCCTGGCAACGTGAGGGGCTCCGTCCCCCGCTTGATCTGCTCATCGCAAAAAGCATCGAAGCCAGAGCGCTCAAAGTCCGCTTCCTGGAATTTGCGTTGGGCTGGAAACGTTCTGATTCGAGTTTCTCAGTGCTCAGCCAGGTGTCCCGACCTTGAAGTGCACTGCTTCCACAAGGCCGACGTCGTTGCAGAGGGCATTTCTGAGAGCTTCCTTTTCAAGGCTTCTGCATGGTCACAGCTGTGCTGGCTGCCATGCTCACGGCCAAAACGCTCTCCTGCTGTCGGCGAGCACGAGAGGCCAGCACGGACCACCAGGCTGCTATCTGGATCGGTGGCAGACTCCGAAACCTTCTGAGGCCCTGGATTGCGACCTCAAGTCTTGCACGCAACAGCCTTTGATGTGAGTGTACTTTCTGCATCCTGGCTCCTCTCTAAACTGTGCCGGGCGTCTTCTTCCGTCTGTTCTGTGCATGCTGGCACCTCACAAACCAAGAGCCCTTTGGAATGCCCAGTGCAGTGAAGGCTCCCCCACCTCCCACTCCAGAAAGATGGCCGCCGGATGTGGTAAATGGGCTTTGGCAAACCCGAGCTCTGCAAGCAGCGATCTCGACTCCACGTCACCTCCCGGAAGAGCAGCAACAAGATTCAATGCATCCCACCACGTGACTCGACCTGCGAAAGGTAGATCTGCCATTCGCTTACAGATGAGCTCGTCCAAAGTAGAGCCGAGACGTTGCTTGAACTCATCGGTGCCGGAGAGTGGACCTGCCAGTCAGGTGCAGATGTGTACTTCGCGGATGTAGGCAAAGTCAGAGCTGAGTCCAGCAACGAACTCTCCAGGCCAACAGTTGGGAAGTGACCTGGCGTGCGGAATCGTAAACGACGTCATCTACAAATGAAGAGCAGTGGCCTCGTCCGACGATAATGCTTCCCATTGCTGCTTCAACTTTTCGTCTGCCCGCAGAAGCTGGTGCCTAATTGCGCATGTATTGTGGGGGAGGGCTGCGTCTAGAATCTAGCCGATCTTGACATGGCTCACACAAGCTTTCCAACACGAATCACGACGAGCAGCTCCAACCATTTCCGCTTCACCGACAACATCGGAGCTTTGGCACTGGCGTGTCTGCCTTGCAGCTACCAGGGCGCTTGAAAAGCCAAACCTGTGGCCATCAAACTTCACTGCCACGCCGTCACCAAAAGCGCTGCAATTGTCAAACTGATGTACCGTGAGACTGCAAGATACTGCAGGCTTGTGCTTCCTGCCTGTAGGCTTCGGAGCGGGACCTCTGCCTGGCGACTCCTCGGCCCTGTCATCGAGGACTCGGTGACATAGTGCTGCCGGACCGTGCACAGGGAAGTGGGGGGGGGGTCCTTTCCGCAGCAGCCCGAGCCGCGGCCGCACGGCTGCAGTACTCTGCTTGCTCGTGCCGTGGCAGTGCCCGCCACCGAGCTGCGGCATCCTCCGCTTCGGAACCGTGGAAATGCTGCAAAAGCGCGAGATCATGCAGGAGACAACTTCTGCCAAGCACCTTGGCAATCTCGCTGAAGTTTGACGGGACTACGCCACCAGGGCTATCTTGACCACCCCGCTCTCTCCGAACTTTTGCGAAGTGCTCGTTCACGAACAGAAGGTATCCTTGCCAACTGTCGTCGCAGGAGTATCTCACAGAGGATCATTCATTCAAAGTCAAAGAGCAGCCAATATCCTCCAAGTGGCCCGAGGCGGGAGCTCGCTTGCGTTTCAAAGTGTTTCCCTCCCGCTCAGAGGCCTGCTGCGGGCCGCTGCAGGCTTGGCTTGTGGACGTGCCGAAAATACTTGGGCCTCCATGCTTTTGCGGCTCCAGGATTTCGGGGCTGTCTCGCGTCCATCATCTTTTGTGGCCGTATGTGCCTCGGAATTGAGACCTGCCGCCTCCCGCTCCTGATAATGCTAGAAAGAATGAAACATCACGCTGGCTTGAGTCCAGGTGATTATCAACTCTGACCGCTCACGCCGCCTGCAATGGAAGAGCATTGCTAACCGGACAACGTCCCAGCTCTTGCTGGAGAAGTTGCTGCACCTTGGCTGGAGAACCTATTCCACAGCTGCGAATGCCACTCAGGACGGAAACCTGCTGCCCAGCTGCTGTGGGCAACTCTGCATCGTCTGCTGCCCACTCCCATCGCCGGCCTTCTCGAGCACGGATTTTCCCTTGCTGCATGAGCCGCCGTAGCACCTTGTGCACCTGGGCATGTCCAAAACAGCTGTTCCATGGAGTTCGAAAAAGGTGTCTTTCCCGCCCTGCCTTTGACAGATCTGGTGGCACGTCCAAGCCGCACTGGGAAAGCAAACTCCTGCAAAGCCACGGACCGATCCTATGCCGATGCTCAAGGGCAACAGAAGATGAAATACACGGCTCATCTTTGCTGCTAGTTGCGCGCCTCAGCGAAACCACACCAGCTGCAGCGTCGAATGCCATAGCAGCCATAACACTCCCTGGAGAGGGCCTTCCTACTCTGTAGACGATGCACGGGGCAGACGTGCAATGCTTCGACTGGAGCGAAGGCCAGCAAATCGACATGGTGTCTTGCAGTCCAAACAAACCATGGCTGGATACAGACCGGCTGGCTGCCAACAAGACACGGTAAGATCTCGAACTTTGCGCTCGAACTCCTCGAAGTGCAACAAGTCTCCGAAGCGAACACCATTGCCTGCCATCGAGACACATCACGTGATGCACGTGCGGAACGTGACTGGGATCAAAACGCGACCAGGATCGCGGATGGCTTTCGAAGAGTAGCAAGGACCAATGCCACGTTTCCTCGGGTCCAGGCTTGCTGGCATCAGAGCGGCCTAGCACCAGAACCTGCATGCAAACAAACGTCAATGCAACAGCTTGATATGCGCTACACCGGTCAAGGAGCGTGGTTCCAATCGAATCCGATCCTTGCTCAGCTTCTAGGATTCCATCAATGATCTGATGGCTGTCGAGCAGAATGTGAGCCCCTGGTCATGCCACAGTTCTACATGGAGGTCACAATACTCGAGCACAGAAGTTGAGGTGCGCTCGCGTCGAAATGAAAACTCGTTCAACGGCTTGCGGATCGAACTCCTGGTTTTCGGGAACGAAGCTTTCAAGCCCAGCGTGGTGCAGGCTGTCATGGACGTGGGCACTGCTCCGCAACAAGGCCCGACATTATCCTTCAGTGCTTCCAACTCCTTCATCAAAGTGGGGATGTGCCTCGGAGTTTATGCAACTCAGCGTCACAGCTCCGACATGACCCCTGAAGCTGTCGTGCACTGCGCTATGCATGTTGATGTCTGTGAGTCTTTCGGTCGCTGTTCTCAGGTCTGCGGACCGTCAGGTTAAGTTGGTATCTGCTCCTGTGCGTGTTCTTCTACATTGCTCTCCAATTGTCTGCCTGCCCAGACGTTTGGCTCAACTTTTGGGCCCAGCAGGTTGCACGCTTGTCAAGTGCAGCTGTGCTGCGCATACTCAATGGCATACGCATGCTATCTTGCCCTCCCCCTTGACTGTTTTGCAGGAGGTCGTTGTTCTGCATGCTAACAATCGCCAATGAAACGTGCAACATGCATAACATACACGTGGCAGCCCATCGCGCAAAATTTGGGACAACGTGCGATCGCTGTGCTTCGGCCTGATTGTTGCGTCCGCATTTCCTGCTTCAGCATCGTCCACCTACATTTGACGTGTGGTGCCATGGAACGTCACTCGGCCGGCCCATGTGAGCCCTGAGGTCTCTAGACACCCTAAACTGGAGCATATTGGTGTGCCGAAATGTGCCATGCACTTGTGTTGCTGGTTCTCCGGTTTCGCATATCCAACACGCCGGCTGCATCCTGCCCGGGAAAACAAACAGGGGGGCGGCATTGGCCGTTGCTGAATGCATACCAGTTGCAAGTCGATGCGGTCGCACTTAGCAATCTTTGGGAAGATCATATCGTCGATAACTTTGTCAACGATTTTCTTACCAATCGCGGTTTTCTTCCGCTCCTTCTTGGCAGTCGTTGCTTTCTCGCGATTCTTTATCTTTTAGGCTACCACCGTCTCCTGTCGGAACCATTGTACCTGTTGGACCCATGTCGTCACCATCAAGCAGAGGATCTGCCTCGCGCCTGATGCCCGAAGAACTCGACGCCTCAGTCCGCGAATTATCACGCGTGCCCCTTTGCCTTGTGAACTGTGGTCGCTCGGCATCTCGAAGTTGATCACATAAACCCTCATCAAGCGACAATGACCCAGGACCGTCATCTCCTCCAAGTTCAGGTGGAATCTTCTTTTGTGGTGGTTTTCCTTCGTCGTCGCCACCGTCGTCCCCGAAAATTGCACCATGATCGTTGTGATCATGGGCATCATGCAGTTCGTCCCTCGGAGGTCAATGTTGTCCTTCAATCCAAAATCGCATTCATTCTTTCAAATTCCATATTTCGAAGGAATTCGATCTCTTCTGGCAATACCACAACTTCGGTTGTGTAGGGTGGTATAAATTTTCGCGGCACGTGGGCATCCATGGAGACGTTAACGTGATTGACAAACGAAAACGCCCGGTATACCCTTTGGACCGAACTTCGCCCCGAAAGGTCTTGTCTCTGGTGTCTGTGGGTTTGCAGAACACTTTGGCTCCGAACGGTATTACGTGTCCCTTTAGAGCGTTCTCCCGTCTTCCGTTTCCCCGCTGAGCCACCATCAGTTTGCACATTCTCGATGATGCCGATAGCTCTGCTTGTAGCAGTGAGGTTGCAACGGTTGCAACGGTGTTGATACGGGGAGCGGAGGTAAGCGTGCCTCAGAGGAGACTTGCATGTCCATCGGCAAGAGTTGCGTGCCCTCGTTTGCGGGGATGGCCAGCAACCACCCGCCGGCCTGCGTGCTGGCCATGGGAGCGCAGCAAAATTCAGGATCTCGGCGACACGCTGCAAAGCAAAGGAAGCGCTGCTCGCGATAAGAAGTGTTGAGTATGCGAGCTGCCGGTTCGTGCCAGCCATGAAGCCAACTTCCGGGCTCTGAGGGTTGCGCAGCGAAGCAAGGCCTCCCACGCCGAGCTTTGTTTTCGGATTTTTCCGCTTGCATGACGAGGGTCCAGCAGGGTCGACCTACCCTACTTCAGTCAAACCTACGGCTCCTATGGCCCGGCTGCGGCTAACGCAGTGGTAGGCGGCACGACCCCGCTGCTTCGGCGAGCTCGAGCACATGGTCTAGCTCCGGGCCTTGTTGCTGACGCAGGCCAGGGGCTTCCGCGGGCAGTGCGCAAGCGACGCGCCGCCACAAGCGGCGCGCGGGTCGCACGGAACGTGCGCCTGGGTGACATGAACCTCGACGCGCCGGTCGGTGACGAGCGGTGCATCGAGGTCGTCGCCAACGGCCTGTGGCATGGTTTCCAGCTCGCGCTCGATGCCACCATCGTCTCGCCAGTTACGCGTCGGGGCGAGGCCCAGCCACGGTCTGATGTGCAACCGGGCCCAGGCGCAAGCGCCGCGACAGCTACCCGGAGTTGCCGGTGCCGCCTCTGTGGAAGTCGGCGTCGAAGCAAGAGGGAGGCTGAGGGAGGTTCGGTCGTAAGTCGGAGAAACGCGCGCAAAAACAAAACCAACAGAGAGACAGAGACTTCTTCATTCGAGTAGCTATAGTCCAACCGACGTGGATCACGTCCAAAATCAGTTTTTTTATGGAGACAAGTTGCGGGTGTGATCTGATATCGCAGTGCAAAGTCGACAAGCATGCCCTGAAGACGCTGATCGGTTCCAAGACCATGGAGCAGATGGAGTGGCCGAATCAGACGTGAGCAAACTTCCAAACGGAATCATTCGATTGATCCAAACAGAAAGCATGTGTCTCTGTTAGTGAAGGGCGGCCGTCCATACGTACATGTTGGAAATTCCAACTCAGGTGCATGCGACGACAAGGAAGCTTCTGCAATCGCGGATCTTCGTGAATCGTTCTCCAGCAAGGCCGGGGACATTCAGACTGCCGTACCTGTCCTGAGCGATGATGGCGGTCCTATTGTCGCAGCAGAGATCGGAACAGAGGGGGAACACGGCGGAAGACAGGGAAGTTCTTGAATCCGAAGCGGGGCATCTCCCCGATCCCCTGACAGTCACCCGAACATGGCGATGATCGCGAAATGGATGTAGAAAGCGAAGGGGTATAGTAAGGAAGGCTAAAGCTGGAGCGTGGAATGAAAACTTGGGATGACGTCGTCACGTTCGATCTGCTGAATATGCGCAGGTGCTGGACGATACGCCCCCGAACACTCCCACGGGCGTCCAACATCTCCCTCGCCACGCCGCCCGCTTTGCCCGAGGCAGACTTGTGTGCGATCTGCCTGGACCCCGTCGACCCCGCAGCCACAGGCGCGGCGTCTGCAGTCTTCCACCCGACATGCGCCCGCCACCGCTTGCACTCGCGTGCCCGGCGCAGCAGCGTGCCCAAGCAAATACTCCAAGTGACATGCATTGCCCGGTTTGCGCTGCAGGTGGCTGGGCCCATGCCGACGACCAATGGTTGCGTGAGGCTTGTGCGGCACGAGGGATCGAGGCGCCAACACGGCTGCCCGCCCCGTCCACC